GATTCGAGGAGAGCAGTTCTCACCCTTAGTGAAGAGGAGGACCTTACCCCGTCCCAGACCGTATCCATGTTTAGTTCACTGTAATCACATTCCCAGTGAATATCCTGTTAGCTGCAGACTGAATTTAAATTGATCCCTGGTTTAGAAAATAGAAATGGGCTAGGAGTGGTGACACGCGCCTGTAATCCCAGCACTCAGGAGGCCAAGGCAGGAAAATTGCTGTGAGTTTGAGGTCAGCCTGAGCTACCCTACATAGTTCAAGGCCAGCCCGAATAGGGAGAGTCTGAAAAGAAAATAGAAACGGGAAGAAAACAGAAGCTGATGGTTAGTTTATGTGAATAAACACTTGTCTGAAAAACAAATGCCTATAATACAGTAAAAAACACACAAAACTACCCCAATTCTTTCTTCCATAATAGACTTTGTAGGCGTGCTTTATATGAAAGGTTTTCTCTGTCAGTGAGTAACTCCATATTTCTCTTTCCCTCAGCCGCACCCTTAGCTGCTGTGGTTCTCTGACTTAGCTGAGTGACTCAGATCTTCATGTCCCGTTCCTTTGTTCATTGTCCTGCCCTTTCTCAGTTGTAATTTTCCATTAATCTTTACCGAACAGCCTAGGCGTAACAGGTGGCCCCTACGCTTGTCCTCCTTGCTTTCATTATGTAGTAGTACTCCAGTTTCCCTTAGGTAGTTGTGTCCTCCCGGCCGGCAGATTAACTGTCCCCTTCCCCGCTTAATTTCCGAAATGTCCAGGTAGCTTTCCTGCTTTCCCGTGTATTGGGAACTTCATTGTAACCTCTCCCCATTAGGGGCTGAGATCTCCAAACCTGCAGTGTGCTCTTAGTTGCTGAGCTCAGAAACAAAAATATTGTCTCTAGATCCAATTCTGCATTAGCTCATGGGTTCCTGGATCTGTATGTTTTGGTTGTAGGGAGATAGTACTGCAGAGCTCTCTGATTCATAGCAATCTTTTTCTGAGACAGACCCCATTCTTTCAGAGGATCATGTCCCCATTGGCAGGTAACTGAATTTTCAGTAAGGTTTTCCGTCTTTCATTTTGATGAGTGCGTGGCCAGTGTCGGATCAGATGAGCTGGCTGCAGGGACCTGCTCTGATCGAGGTGACTACAGTGGGAGGACTTCTTGATTTAGAGTCAAAGTTGTGATTGCCATAAATTCAGATGAAGTGTTTTCTGAGTCGTTGGATGGCATTGTCCACAGAAGCAGCAAAAATATACCTCCAGAATACTGCTGCTCTCTGGGATGTGGGCCCCAGGCCCCTGAGGTTGCTTTGGACTCTGGAGAGAGGTTGCTCAGGACCTCCAGGACCTTGTTAGTTCAACATTCAGACACAGACAAAATTTTCGTGTGTAAAGATGGAAGGCGTTTTTAAAGAACTCTTCATGACAGAATTCAAAAAGGGAGTGAAGGGAGTGAATGCCTATCTTGAAGTCAGTGGACCCCAGGGAGAGGTGGCCATGAGGCACCTGTCGATCACCTTGTCTTTTCTCTATTCCTTTTTTTTTTTAATTGCATGGTGTTAGGGATGAAATGTCTCATGCATTCCGAGCAACGTTCTGTTACTGTTACTGAGCCACACCCACCATCGCCTTACCTGTTCCCCCCTTTTTTTCCTTCAATTTTTGTAGTTAAACTGGCTTGAAAATCTCCCTAGTAATAGGAGGCTTCTCTCTTCTTATCAGCCAAGGATAGAAACTAAATGCCTGTGGCTCAGTACTTAAAAGCCTGAAGCAAAAGGGAGACAAAAGTGGAAAGGAAGAGAGAGACTGCCACTTTCAGTAGCTGTGAATCCAAAGGATAAAGCAAAGGAACTTTACAATGTGCAGAGGAAATGCCATGTCACGCAAACGTAGTGGTACTAATAGGTACGGTACTAATTTACAATTTAAAATCAGCTCCTAGATCAAACGTAAGGCACTGACTTAAAGCAGTACAGTGTGATTACATAGATGATGTGCTGCGTTCAGGATGTGTGCATGGCCATGAATCCCCCTCAGGATTCTCCCTCTTGCTTTGAACACACTCATCCCACCATTGCCACTTTCTGAAGCAGCCCTGGAAGTCTTTTTTGAGTGTCTTTACAAGATGCGATGAATAATACAGTTAATGCTGCTGCTGAGTGCCATCTACTGGAAAGGCAGGCTCGTAAAAACATGACGGTGCGTTCTCAGCCACCTTCCTCACCAGATCTGGCACCGTGCAACTTCTGGCTCTTCCCCAAAGTCAAAATGACCATGAAAGGTGAACATTTTGAATCTATTCAGGCAGCCACCACAGCACTACTAAAGTCACAAGTCATACGTATAATCTCTATATTTTAATATAAATAGTATTAAGTAAATATGTGATGAATTTTGTATGTGTAAACAACTGAAAAGTCAAAACCAAATTTTGTACTTGGATCTAATTCAAAATCCAAAATTTATACAGGTTTTTGTTACATAAAACATTAAAGTCTTGGATCTAATTCAAAATCCAAAATTTATACAGGTTTTTTTTACATAAAACATTAAAGGGCACTAGTTTTTTTTTTTTTTTTTTTTGCCTGTATAGTATAGGATCTAACAATTTTAATATTATTTAAAAGAGAAATTAAGAAAAATTTATGGAACTTGAGTTACAGTTATACTTAGATATCTCACCAAATTTAAACATGCCTTCTATAGTTTTAAAACAGTAATAATAGAGGCGGGTGTGGGGGTGCACGTCCATAATCCCAGCATTCAGGAGGCTGAGGCAGGTGGATTGTCTCAAGTTCGAAGCCAGCCTGAACCACAGAGGGAAACCATGCCTCAAAAAAACAAAACAAAAAACCCCTGAAACCAAAAAAATAGTGACTAATAAAATGGGTGAAATTAAATATGCCCCATATTTAATGTATAGATATATAACCTTCTCATTGTCATTATATCCATAGCCTGAAAATACTCCTTACTGAATGTAGATGTTGTGATACAGTAAATGGTAAATTAGCATTAAATTACATTAAATTTTTGGTATTTGTAATTGATACATGGAACAACATGGTCTCTCATTAAAATGTAAATAAGGCTTAATGCAGATGAGAATAGGACCTTCAGGGATTAAAACTGAATTTCTCAAAGGTAACAAAGGGTGATTATCCTTACCCCTTTTTCCATTGTTGCCTGCTGTTAAATCTAAAAATTATGTAGGCAGATAGATTTGATAGATTGAGCAATCAGATGAGTCTGACAGAGTCTTCTAGTGGATTACTACAACATTTAAGCTGTAGCTCTGACAATGAAGGCCCCCATGCCCAATATTTAGTATTATGAAAATTTGTGATTCTGTTCAGTCAACAACTGGTAAATATTGTGCTGTTATATATTGGCTAACGTGTTCCTTTCTGTGCCTGTTTCAACAGCCTCTCAGCTGCTGTGTGCCTCCACCTCAGAAGGGACACACTACATTTTCCCAGGGTGCCTGTGGGGTGCCTCAGCAACTTTCCATCACACAGTCTATTCAGCTTTGCCCAGAACTACAGGTATGGCCTGACCTTGACAATATCCTCCATGGTTCTCATTTGACACACTTTTATTATTAACAGATAAGTCGACCATCTTTTAGTCCTTTGGTTCTGGTGTGAGTGTTATCTTTCATTGACAAATTTTACTTGTTAAAATCAACAGCCACCCCCATTAGAGTCTTCAGACCCACCATCAGTACAGAGCTTTGACAATATTTTAGCAAGCGCTGGAGTCTTTGTACCCCTCTTTTTTTTTTTGTACGGGGGTTGGGGATGGAACTTCAGTCCTTGTGCCTGTGAGGCAGGTGGCGGCACCACCTCATTTTGACCCCTCACTTTGACCTTCCGTTTGTCCCAAACTCTGGTGGAAGAAATTGCCCCCTTTCTGTCAGGTGTGGTGGTGCACCCATGTAAGCCCAGCCCTCGAGGAGGCTGAGCTAGGAGGATCAAAAGCCCAGCCTATGCAGCGTAGCTATATATTAAGAACTTATCTCAAAGTTAAAAATTTTAAGAAGTTGGGGATGTAGCTCAGTGCAAAGATTCAATCCCCTACTCTCTCTCTCTCTCTCTCTCTCTCTCTCGCACAAAAGAAAAAAGAAAAAAAAATGAAATTGTTTTTCAATTTGAGCCTTTTGCCATACATCATTAACAAAACAGTTGGCAGGCCACTTAGGAGGGCTGTGCAGGAAACGTGCTTTGCCAGATGCTGAGCCTGAGTCCTTCTGCTCTAGTCAGGAGAATTGGGCAAAGGAGTACATTAAATACAGGACACATAAGGTTATTTTATGGCAATTACCCAGTCACATGCAAGAGATTAGCCACACACCGGAAGCCCAAAACATTTAACAGGCCCTAGATCCCAGCATTTTCCCATACAAGTCCAGCTAACAGCTTAAGAGTCCAAGGCATTGTCCTCCTCGAGTCCAGCCAGTGGTCCAGAGCCCATGGCAATGTCTCATGCTTGTCCGTATTGAGGATCTGCATTTGGAAGGCCCAGAGGCCAGTGGCAAAAGCCAGAAAATTTATTCTCATGAGATGAAGGATCTCTGCCACCAAGCTGAGGGACCCACATTGGAGCCGGGAAGTGACGCTCACAGTGAAGGTCAGAGCTCCCCTGATGAAAGCAGCAGCCATTCCCAGCGACAGCGAGGTCCTGAGCTCCTCCTCTGATAAGAACAGCCTGGTTCGTGTTAGGAAAACCATCCGCAGCGAGCTTCTCCTAGAAAATCAACAGGCTAAGATCAGAAGATCTCAGTTCTCTTTTTATGGCTATTGGTGACAATCTTCAGGTGGATCCTCCACACCCAGACCACACTGATTCAGTTCAGCTGGGCGTTACAAGTTGACCATTAGTCAGTCCACTACATTGTCTATACCCGGCTACGCATTTTGGATCAAGGATGCCCCACAAGCTTGACATGGTACCAAGGCAGTCCTAACACATCATGGAACCAAATCCGGGCCCTCTGATGTAGTCTACCTTCTCTTGTCTTTTGACAGATCAGGGTATGTGAGGAGGTCACCCCTCTCCCAGACCCAGTTGGGTATCTAAAGAGCTTCTTGGGGCTGACTGTGTGAAAGACAGTGGGGGTTTGTGGACTATCAGACATCACCACTAACCGTCGTACAGGTGATGGAGCTCTGTCATGTTGCTGCTTTTCTTTTCTTAGTCAGGATGTACCTAATAAAGGGCAGGATGCAGGAAACAGCACACTTGGCCAAACTTGAGACAGATGGACATCTTTAACACTGGATGCTGTGGACAGCTAGTTGTCCCATTTTTGCATGTAATATGAACTAGTGAGCAATGGCGAAGGATTTTCTTCTTCAGGTTAAAAAAAAAAAAGCAAAATCAATCCAGACCTGTGTGATTTCTTGGGTCACACAAACTAGGAATCAGAATTGCATATGCAAGGTGAGACTGTAGCTCAGTGGTAGAGTTTGCCCAGCATATGAGAGGCTCCTAGTGAAATGCCCAGTGCTGGGGGTGGGGAGAGTTAAGAGAAAAATAAAAACCTGCGAATGTCTCTACACAAACTATAGCCACTTACAGGACTTTAAAGGAACACCCTTCATTCCCTTCAGAATTACAGCATGCTGTTTTACTTTTGAGAAAACAAACTAGGGCCCTTGGAGGAGACAGTTATGAGAACTTTCATGTCTCTGATAGATCCCAGGTAACTGTTTCACAAGTTATAATCATCTTCTCAGGTTTCCAAATTCCACTCCAACAAATAAGTCCCAAATACTGCATCCTGTCCCAATCTTTAAACTTTTTATTTTGGTTTTGTGGTACTGGGCCTTCACACTTGGCTATATTCTTAGCCCTTTTATTCTTTTTTAAGGCAGGATTTCACTAAGTTGCTAAGTTCCCCAGACTGCTCTAGACCATGCAGTCTTTCTGCTTCCCAGAGTGCTGGGTTTCCAGATGTGTACCATCCCATGTGACTCCTTAACCTGGTTCTATAAATTTTCCATCTTCCCCACTTCACATAAGGGCTGACAGCTAGAGTGGGTACATCCTACTTTGGCACTTGTTAAGTATACATTATCCCACAAGATAGGCAGGCATTCATTTGACATGAGACTTATTCGAACCTGATCTTCCACTAAATACAAAATTTTCTCTGATACACAGCTGCACACTACTCTGTTGAGTGTTGGTCATGCTAACACGGTACTGCATATTTGTATTCATTTGTACTCTGGATACTCATATCAGCATGAGTGGATGTCTTCTCGCATCGGTACCTGAGTCCCACATCTCACATGAGGTCAGCCTCTCTTAAAATCTTATGACTGGATATGAGGCTGTGCCATCTGAGGACCTTATAGTTAGAAATGAGGTTTCTTTTTTCTTTCTTTTTTTTTGGTACTGGGAATTGCACTTGGGACTTTGTGCTTGCCAGACAAATGGCGGAACCACTGAGCTAAGTCCCCAGCCCTGAAATGAGGTTTCTATTGATGATAACAGCTATACCTGTTCACTGAAACCTGTTCCCTAACAAGTCCATCATGCCATGGACAGCTTCCCTGAATGTACAGACTGTACATGTAATTGTTTTTCTCTTTTGTAATATTGGGGATTGAACCTAGGGCCCTCACACTCAGCTAGGAAAGTGCTTTGCCACTGAGCTACCTCCTTATCCCCCCTTTTCTGTGTGTGTGTGTGTGTGTGTGTGTGTGTATGTTTGAGGTGGGTCTCGCTCTGCAGTTCAGCCTGGCCTTGAACTCACTATGTAGCCCAGGCTGGCCTCAAACTTGAAGTGATCCTCCTGCCTCAGCCTTTCAAGTGTTGGGATTAGAGATGTGCACCACCTTGCCCAACTCGTGTGTGTTTTATTGGGATGCTCTTGTCACTGAGCCTGTATCCTATGTTCCTTTCTCAGAGATAGGCTTTGCTAATTTGCTAGCATAGCCTCAAGCTTGTGATCCTACAGCCTCAGTCTGCTGAGTAGCTAGGATTACATGATGTGTTTTTTTCCCTCAGGTCACAGTCTGCTTAGCCCATGACCCAGGTATATTCTTTACTCTCTGCTAAGGTACATGACCCCCATCTGATATGTGTCAATATGGTAGATGTTACTAAAGATAATGAAAATTAATGCTTTCCCCCACTCTTAACTCCCTGAGAAGACCACCCACTGATCAAAGCCTTGTTCTGTGTGTCCTCCAGCTTAACCCCGCTCCCTTGCATGTCACACCATGACCACCGGAATGCCTGTTTGCTCTTGGTTCCACACAGTATCACATTGTAAAAGGACATTTTCCTTTTATTAACTGCTCCGTTTAGTTGGGACCCCACATCAATAGCACTAGTCTTTACAGAGTTTTCTTTGCTGACTTAAGCCGTGTTTTCCTGAATGAAACCATATTCCTCTCTGTGCAGTGATCACATTAAACATTCACGAGGTTCTTTCGCTAGGTACCTGCTTCCATCTGAAAGTTTCTGGGCAAAATGGAAATACAGCGGTCCCCTTTCCCACCGGGATACTTTCCATGATGGCCAGTGGATAGCTGAAATTGCAGATAGTACAGAACCCTATGTATTCTATTTTCTTTTATTATCATTTAAAAATTAATATCATTGGTACATTTTAGGGGTACAGTATGATGACACTCAGCATTGGAAATTTGTACCTTTGCATAATCTATCTTGGTTCATGTTTTTTCCCCATTCCCCTGCCCTTCTTTCAACCCCTCCACCCTTCGTATTTACAGAAACTTGGCTTCCTTCCTTTTGGGGGGGGTGGGTACCGGAGCTCAAACTCAGGACCTCACACTTGTGAGGCAGGTAGTGGAACCACTGAGCTAAATCCCCAGACCTCCATTTTTTCCCTTTTCTCATATTTATTCCTTTCCCTTCTTTCCTTTTCCCAGCCCTTCCCATTTCCCCTTCCCCTTTGGACCTTCTCTTCCTATTTCACATTATTTGTTATTCCCTTAGATCCTTATTTACACTTTCAGTTTCTTACACCCGAGAAACTATTCAGTATTTACATGTGTATATGTAATATTTTTATGTAAATGTGGTCTTTCTCAAAATGACATATTGTCCTATTTGCCCTATAGAAACCATTTATTTTTTTCTGTGCTAGGGATGGAACTCAAGTCGTCGTGCATGCTAAGCAAGTGATTTACCATTGAACTATACCCGCAGGCTTCTCTACTTCATTTGTCAGAGCCTAGTTAACTATGGGTAATACAAATTGTTGCAAGTGAAACTGAACACTGTATTTAGTCTTATGTTAATAGGATAAGCCATGATCAAAGGTGCTGGCATTATTGGCCCCGGTTTACCAGCATCACATGACTGCCAGCCGGCACCTTTCATTGCCCTGTTAGAATCCTGCTTAAAAAAATAAAACACTACTTAATGGATACAGGAAACATGGTCTATTATAAAACAAGCCTGTGATTCTCTAGTCCAAATGAAATAGATAATTGATATGTAGTTGACTGTTGCTGTCTACATTCTTTACAGGATAATCTATGAGGAATAGACCAAGAGGTAACCAACATCTTTTAGCAGCTTACATTGAATTCTGAGATGCCTGACCTGACCTGTTTTTGTGGGTATGGATGGCAAAGTACAGTGTCTAGTTATAGACTGTATTCCAAAGCTTCCTCATATGCCTAATGGGGCTCTTCTTAGTTGTCGCCTTTATAAGCTAACCTTTGGGAGCATAGCCTGTCACCCTTAATTTTAAGTACTCCACAACATAGGTGTTATGAAAAATGTTGGTGAGCCCCAGAACGGATTGGTTCATAATATTTTTAAAATTCATTTTTTCTAGGACTGGAACTGTAGCCTCGCTATGGATCTTCAAATGTTCAATGGAGAAAACCCCTACAAATTGGAGGAATATGAAAAGGGCTTTCAGTATTTTCCATGCCTTACTAATCCCATGGAAACCCACACCGAAGCAACACTCTGTGAATGTGAGGAATGCTGGAGAGCATTTGCCTTTTCCTCACACCTAAGTCAATATGTAACAATTGCTTCCGGAGAGAAATCCCAAAAATGTAAGGAGTGTGGGAAGTGCTTTGCTACTTTCACTCAACTTTCTGCACATATGGAAGTTCATACTGGAGAAAAACCCTTCCAGTGTAAAGAGTGTGGAAAGTGCTTTACAAACAACACATACCTTAACGATCACAGGAAAATTCACAGTGGAATAAAATCGTACAAATGTGTGGAATGTGGGAAAGCCTTCCTGAGGTGGTCGGGCCTGACTGAACACTTACGAGGAGTTCACAGTGGAGAGAAGCCCTTTGTGTGTAAGGAGTGTGGCAAAGCCTTCTCCAGGTCCACTCAGCTTAATGAACATGTCAGGACACACACTGGAGTCAAACCCTACGAATGTAAGGACTGTGGGAAAGCCTTCACTCAGTACTCGGGCCTCGCCACCCACGTACGCATCCACAGTGGAGAGAAGCCCTTTCAGTGTAACCAGTGTGGGAAAGCCTTCACTAGGACCTCAGGCCTTATTCACCATGTGAGAACACACACGGGGGAGAAGCCTTTTGAATGTGTCCATTGTGGGAAAACCTTTATCACTGCCTCCCACCGTACTAAACATATGAAAATCCACAGTGGAGAAAAGCCCTTTGTGTGCAATATCTGTGGGAAGGCGTTTGTGTATTCCACATCCCTTAACATTCACATGCGAACGCATACTGGAGAGAAACCTTACATCTGTAAGGAATGTGGGAAAGCATTTGCTGTTTCCTCACGCTTAAGCAAACATGCAAGTGTTCACCATGGGGAGAAGGCGTATAAATGTGAGGGTATCGGTGTTGCTATTTAGTCCGTCTGTATCCACCCCTAAATAATGACAGTGACACCAAAGATCATCCGTCTTAACTGCTTGGTGTGAGTTGTAATGGCTCTCACTGGCATAGGTGCCACCTGACATAAGTTTCCTCTGGAACTTTTTTTTTTTTTTTTTTTTTGGTAGTGCTGGGGCTGAACCCTGGGGCCTCATGCATTCTGGGCAAGCACTCTACTACTGACCTACATCACTGACCCCCTTGACTGGTTCATACATAGTTGAGTCTGAGCACTTTTGGGGGTCATAGGTGAGGTCACTATTGCTGGTCGACCTCAACTGGTGCTTGGACCCCTAGTGAAGACAGCATTAACAAATGTTACACATGGGCGTCCAGCCTTTGGCTTGCTTGGCCTCACTGATTGCGGCACATCTAAGTATATAATACAGTCAATGTACATATTTAACAAAATTTCATTTAAGAGGTTTTTTATGATAATGTTAAAATAACACAAGCAACTTGTAGGCCACAGGCTTTACCTGCCTGCGTGACATTACTGAACAGATTTGGCCCCGCCCTTCGTTGGTTAGTGGCTGCCAGTGTGGCTGGCTGTTCATGTGAAAATTTTCCAAAAGCCCCATTGGTACAGGATCAGGTGGACTGTTGAAAGGCACTCCTCCAGGTGTGTCTTGATCCCATTGATCATGCTGAATGTGCCAAGAAGGAAATGGTCCCTGTCTGTTCTTAACGACTAATCTACATTTACAGCTGATTATCCCTGTTTCCTTATAACATCTAAGAAGTCCACCTTGTTTTGCCCTGTAGGTCTAGTTTAGATCTAAATGGCAATTCTTGTGCTAGTATAATTTAGTCTGTTCCTCTTTTTTTATTTTTTGGGGTACCAGGGATTGAACTCTGAACCTTGCGCTTGCGAGGCAGGCATGGCCCCAATTCCTCCTCTTTTGAGATTGTTGATATCCTAACCCTGCATCCCATCCTTGATCTTTATCAAATGGCTTTTCAGCCCCTCTTAGTATCCTTTTCAGTCTGGCCTTACTTTTTTGCAATATAAATAGTGTGATTGTTCCAAATGTCCAAATTCTGATTTCCTTTTGGTTTAATAGTTCTTTGTTAGATTCAGGTCTCTGGCTTTCACATTTTACTACATGTGTTCAAGTAGAGCCAAGCTGCTCCTTTAACACTTTAACTACAAACCTCAGATAAATTTTCAGTTATATAGCTCCTCGGTTCTACCTGTCACACGAATATAGCTGCATTCTGGCAGGTTTTCACTTTAGAGAATGTATTTCTCTGCTCCTGCCTTCCTTCCCGCCCTCGCTCCCCCTCATCCACCCCTTTATTTTGATTCTAGAGATTGAACCCATTCTAAGTAAGTGCTCTACCACTGCGCTACATCACTAGTCTTTTTTTTTTTTTTTTTTTTTTTTTTAACGTTTTGTGGTACTCTGGATTGAACCCATTGTCTTCACACTGAGCTAGCTACATTCCCACCCTTTTATTTTTAGTCTAAAACCAGACTATCACTAAATTGCCTTGTTGAGCTGGGATTATGGGTTGTGCTAACTCACCCTGTTGTACTGTGTTCCTCATTCTCAAATGACCAATCACCTGTATACCACTTAATATCCTGATTTCCAGAGTGCAGTTAAAAGCATTTCCAGCCTTTGCCTATTACTCAGATCTGCTCACATTTTTAGGACTTTTTACCACACCACCACTTCTCAAGACCAAAAATCTATCAAGCATTGCTTAGGCTGCCATAATACAATCCCACAGACCAAATGGCTTAACATTTTATTTTGAATTAATACAAAAATTTGAAATACACAGAAATTCATTTTCTCTCATTTCTGGAGATTAGATGTCTAATATCAGAAGCACCAGCATAGATGAGCTCTGGTGAGGACTGTTTTCCTGCCATGCAACTGCCTGCCTCCTTAGTATGTCTTCACATGATGGAGACCGAAAACACGGTTCCTTTCTCTTCCCTTTTTTTGTGATCCTCAGCTTCCTAGACTGCTGGGATTACCGGCATGTACCACCACACCGAGGTCAGACCATCTTTAATATTTAAATTTATTATGTTTACTAGTATGTTATAAAAGACTTTTGTAGGTATATTTGAGTAGCATTGGCATGTAACTTTTCTTACATAAGAAAAAAATAGGGACTAAAGGTGTAGTTCATTGGTAGCACACTTGCCTAAGCATGCATGAGATCCTAGGTTCAAGCTCCAGTACCACGAAAAAATTTTAAAAAGATAGAGTAGAAAAAAATGCATCAAGGATGTATCTCAGGTAGACTGCATATGTGCAAGGCCGTGAGTTCAATCCCCAGCACCATGAAAACATTTTTAAAAATAGCCATTCTGGTATTCAGATGTATGTAATCTTTGCCAATATATACTGCAGTGGGGTGTAGTCCTGCTTTGCCTAATTTCATAACAGGTTAAATTATCTGGATTTAGAGTAATTGTTTACTGCCATAGGTATCCTTTTTCTATAATATCAAGCAATTTTCTCAATTTCTTTTATGGTTGTAGAACAATTATGGCTTGCAGCATCATAAAGCATTTTGATTATTTTTCTAGGTATGTTTTTATTTTCACATCTGGAGCAAAATTTATATATTTTTAACATTTCTTGATTGTATAATTTACCTTGGGCATCTTTTGCATTCTGGAATGATTACTTTGTGCATTCTTTTTCTTGTGTTAGTCTCAGCAGTATTCAGATTTGTGATCTTCCCTCCCTTTTTGGCCATACTAGGGATTGAACCAGATGCTTTTAGTTGCCAAGTGCTGTACCACTGAGTTGTGTTTTAGCCAGGTTTGTAGTTTGCCCTGAAAAGTCTAATCTTCTGCTGGTAGAGCATTTGCCTACCTATCATGCACAAGGCCCTCAGTTGAATCCCCAGTCCTGGGGAAAAAAAAAAAATTTCTAATATGCTTTCTCTTCCTTTAATTATGTTAGATATTTATCTGGTCATATTTGCTTGGTTTTGCTTTCTTTTTTTTTTTTTGGTTTTTGTTGCTGGGGATCAAACCTAGGGCTTGCTCATGCTAAACATGTGCTCTTTATCACTGTGCTACACCCCTAAACCCAGATGTGTATTTTTATATATACTCGAGCAGGAAATGAAAAAAAATCTGAATACTTGAAAACTTCTAACAGTCTTTTTCTCTTACCTTGTCATTTAGTCTATAATGTGTAATGATATTAGTAATAAATTTGGATGTACCTCTGATGTCATGTTTATCTTGTGCTTCTCTCGTATTGGTTTTATTTTTCATTGAAATGATTTTAATTTTGATGCTTAAAATTTATTGTTACTTGGTATCCTAAAACTTTTCATTTATTTTTTGAATTTAAATCTTCAATAATACTATTTCCACCCAAGTGGAGTGCAGGCTCACAGGAGCCACTAAGTAGATTGGGTACCTCTGATGTCATGTTTATCTTGTGCTTCTCTCGTATTGGTTTTATTTTTCATTGAAATGATTTTAATTTTGATGCTTAAAATTTATTGTTACTTGGTATCCTAAAACTTTTCATTTATTTTTTGAATTTAAATCTTCAATAATACTATTTCCACCCAAGTGGAGTGCAGGCTCACAGGAGCCACTAAGTAGATTGGGTGGAATCAAGATCAGGCCCCTTGACAAAGCCCCAGCACATCTTGTAATGGATTGCTAACAGCCCCAATTTCTGTGAAGTTATTCCCAAACTGATGGGAGTCCTTGTTTCCTGTTTTGCGTGAGCTGGTCTTAAGACTCACTTTGACCAACAGAAATCAACAGAACTGAGCCATACCAATTTCATCCGCAGAAGGCTTTTGATGATAATCGCTATTTTCAGCAACTAGGTTTTTGGGTTGCTTGCTACACGGTAAAAATACACTGATAACACACACTCCTTGGCACACAGGCTGATAAACTGTGTTTGCCTAACGTGTCAGAGGAACCTCCAGATTTAGGCTCAGTCTTGGTAGCGCTGAAAAATTGTCAGTGGTCATGGAGGTACTGAGTATCTCTGTGACCTGGGTGGGTGGGATCAAGCTTTGAGCTCATGTACCTCTGCTTAGGTGCTCAGGGCACCCAGCAGAACTGGGGGCTGGAGAGAGTCGACAGGAAAGATAAAAGAGGTTTGCTAATACGCAGGAGAATCTTAAGTCCTATCAAGTTATTTCAGCGGCTGACAAAAGCACTTGTTAGAACCCCCCAGCTCCTCTCAGATCCTTTCTGTTGGCTCGTTACCTGCTAGGATAGGCAGAGGCAGGAAGAAGGTGCTGGAGCCATCTAGAATGGCTGTAACCAACAAAATAGTGATTCTAACACCGTCCGGTGGCCCAGAGTGTTCATTTTTGGGGCGACAATGCCATTCATTCCTCCGATGAATTGCTTATTTGTCGAGAGAAAGGAATCTTAGAAGACGAAGGAATAGAAAAAAATTGGAGCTTCATATGGGTGAGGCCCCTGCCCAAGCCTTGCAATCGAAACTCCGCAACGAGCCTGATCCCACCTCCTCCCCGTCCCCACGTCTGGACTCCGATACGCCAGGAGCCCCGCCAACCTCAGTTTTGGCCTCTGCCCCTTTTCGTCCACCTGACCCCGCTCCGAGCCTGTGGAGGAACCCAGCCGCCCTCCCGAGGGAGGAAACCAGTATCCCAGCCAGGAGCTCCAAGCGCCGCCGCCAGGGTCAC